CTTTTCAAAATTTGCTGAGAAAAGCAAATAAGAATATAGTGCATAACGCTTCTCCTTCTCTCTCTCTCTCTGTCTCTCTTTGTCTCTGTCTCTGTTTGTCTCTGCCTCTCTCTCTCTCTCTCTCTCTCTCTCTCTCTCTCTCTCTCTCTCCTATTTCCTCTGCCCATATTTCTTGTCTGAATCAGGCATTTTCTCTCTATGAAGATGAAATCAGTGATTCAAAAGCCCAGCTGGCTGCAATCACGCTGATAATTGGGACGTTTGAACGGATGAAGTGCTTTGGCGAGGAGAACCACGAGCCCTTGAGAACTCAGTGCGCGTTGGCAGCGTCAAAATTGCTGAAGAAGCCAGATCAGTGCCGAGCCGTGAGCACCTGCGCCCATCTCTTCTGGTCTGGCCGGAACACAGACAAGAATGGGGAAGAGGTAAGGCCAGCCCAAGACTTGGGAAAGGGTCCTCTATAATGAGCTGGGAGAATAACAGAGACGGCAGGCAGCAGCTGCAGCCCAGACAAAAGATAAGAACTAGTCCACAGAAGGAATTGGGGTGGAGAGAGCATCCCAGGAGGGACCCCTCCCTAGTTCTTTGGAAAGTAAATTCAGGGGAGGGGAAGTGCTTTCAGCCTTGAAACATTCTGCTGCTGTAGTCTCAGAATAAAGGTAGAATTTGGTTCTTGGTTTTGATTTCCTGGCCTGGACTACTTTGGAGGGGATGCTGGCTGGGGAATTCCAGGACTTGAAGTCCACATGTCTTAATGTTGCCAGATTTGGAAAACACCGTATGATGGGATTAATGTCTGGGTTAAGGAGAAATTCAGCCTTGGCATATATTGGCAGGGCTCTGGAAGGAATACAGATGCAGAATCAACCGGCATCGGTGTATCAGAGGTGCACATACAACTGCGTTTCCTTTGGAATTTTTGTGAATTCCTTCATCCTTCCTAAACCAGCTAAATAAATACGTTAGGCGTGCGATTTGCATCTGTGGAAAATCATTGTATAAATGTGTTGACGTGGGGAGTTCTGATCCCTTCTTTTTTCCCGGTCTTGTTGCTTAGCTCCATGGAGGTAAGAGGGTCATGGAATGCTTGAAAAAGGCGCTGAAGATAGCCAACCAATGCATGGATCCCTCTCTGCAAGTTCAGCTCTTCATAGAAATTTTAAACAGATATATCTACTTTTACGAAAAGGAGAACGAGGCGGTAAGGAGCAGCACTTTTGTGTTTTGTGCAGATGTGCAAAATCTACACCCCAATCACCCTCAATAGTTTTACAAGAATCTCTTCAAAGTTTCCATCAGAATAGAAACTTTAACGAGACCAAAAAAAGAAGGGAAGTTCTTCTCCCCCTCCGTCCAACAACAAAAGGAGGCAATCTTTTGACTTAACATTAAAATTACAGGCAGTCCTCGACCTTACAACAGTTCATTTAGTGACCGTTCAAAATGACAACAGCACTGAAAAAAGTGACTTAGGACCGTTTTTCACGCTTAACAACCGTTGTAGCATTCCCACGGTCACATGAGCAAAATTCGGATGCTTGGCAACTGACTCGTATTTATGATGGCTACCCTGTCTTGGGGTCATGCAATCTTCTGAGAAGCAGTCAGTGGGGGAGTTACTAACTTAACTGGAGTGATTCACTTAACAAATATGGCATGAAATGTAAAATGGGGCAAAACTCACTTAACAAACGTCTCAATTAACAACAAAAATTTTTGGGCTCAATTATGGTTGTAAGTTGAGGACTACCTGTAATTAAATCTCTAATTATCTCTTACAATGTAAGGGTGCTCGGCAGATGATAAATTCAGATTTGGAGTTTCCTTTAGCACTACCCCTTCTTTGTCTGAAGCCCAGCTGTTATCAACAGCGCAGCCTTGTCTGACAGAGGTCAGACTACATGTTACACTTAGTCTATGGTCCTTTATTTCTCTGCAGACCGCTGGGAAGTAGCAGGGAGGGATGGTGGCCATCTCATTTCCCAACAGCTTTTCTACCACAGGAGTGCTCTGAATACGCAGTGCATATGTGAAGTTGAAAAAGGAGAGTTTTTTGGGTTAGCGAATTAGAGATTTGAGATTAAGTGATGGACCATCATTATGACCTCAGGTGCATTATTTTATTGAATCTTCATAACCATCTTGAGGTCTTCTCTCCTCAATTAAATTGCTAAAATCTGCTATCAGATTGACCGTTGGGTGAGTGGGCACTGAAAAATTCTGCCAACCTCTAGTTTCAAGGGTTGCAGTCCTATATTTAGTTGTGACCGTATGAAGAGCAACAAAGATGATTAGGGGACTGGAGGCTAAAACATATAAGGAACGGAAATTGCTGGAAATGGGTATGTCTAGTTTAACGAAGAGAAGAACGAGGGGGGACAGGATAGCAGTCTTCCAGTATCTCAGGGGCTACCACAAAGAAGAGGGAGCCAAGCTATTCTCCAAAGCACCTGAAGGCAGGACAAGAAGCAACGGATGGAAACTCATCAAGGAGAGAAGCAACCTAGAACTAAGGAGAAACTTCCTGACAGTTAGAACAATTAACCAGTGGAACAACCTGCCTCCAGAAGCGGTGAATGCTCCATCACTGGAGGTTTTCAAGAAGAGACTGGACAGCCATTTGTCTGAAATGGTATAGGGTTTCCTGCCTGAGCAGGGGATTGGACTAGATGACCTCCAAGGTCCCTTCCAACTTTATCATTATTATTATTAATATTTGCCTCTTTTTTTCAGTTGTCGCTCAGCAACAACTCCCAGCAGTCCCTTGTCAGTGTGAACAAGAAATGAAGGATGCTGGGAGACGTTGTTCGCCAACATCAGGCTGGTCTTGCAGCGGACCAGATCATGCAGTGTGTAAACCCCGTCTGTTTGACACCCCTCTCTTTTTCAATATAGGTGACAGTTCAGGTGTTGAATCAGCTCATTCAAAAAATCCGGGAAGACCTTCCGAATCTCGAATCGACCGAGGAGACAGAACAGATCAACAAACATTTTCAGAACACACTGGAGCATTTGCGCTTGAGGAGGGAATCCCCCGAATCCGAGGGGCCAATCTATGAAGGGCTGGTCATTTAAACAAAAGACAACCCCACCCACTCACTCCCGTTCTGTAGGCCCTTGTCCTCTGTCTTTCCATGTACAACACACACACACGCACACGGCATTTTGTTGTTCTCATCCTTCTTCTTGTATTAGAGATCATAGACTTTTGTGCCTTTGGGGAGTGCCAAGATAGGCTTTCGGTTCACACTTTCTTGTGTGAATGTGCAAATGTGTTCCAGGCTGCTTCTTCCAAGCATTTGGGATTTAAATATTCCTGTCAGAATTCCCAAGATGTGGACTAGCAGGCCAATAGAAAATTAGCATGACTGAATCCATTCTTCTAAAATTCCACGTGGTGTGTACCTCTCGCCCCCCCCTTCCCCGCCTCCCTCGTGTTCTGATTTTTCTCTCTTCTGTCCTCACATCTTCGCCCAAAAGCCATATAATCTCTAATCCACCTTTCCATTTGCAAGTGTTAACTAAGGCTGTGGACTATTTTTTTAAAATAACATTGTTTCATTTTCTTGTCTGCCAGATTCCACTTTCTCCTTTTTTTTTCATATTTGTCAGAGTTCTGTCAGATTTCCCCCCCATTCCCCCCAACCCCCAGAATATCTTCATGCATGTATTTGGAGTTATAAAGCACCGTTCTTTTTAAAAAAAGGAAAGAAATTAAACCAAGAAAGTTATATTTTGCATATGGGGAGTCAGTGACATACAGTGAGGGTTCAGTATAGCGCACAGGGCATATTTATCGAGATAATAGTAAGAAAATTCAAAACAAATGGTGGTCTATAGAGTATATAACCTTCAGTACTGTCAAATTAGGGGGAAACGCAATCTGTATCCTTAATTTGTGCCAGTATAACAATAAAGTTGCTATTAATGGGTATGGCCTCCACTCTCTCCAGTTGCATTTAATAATAGTACTAGCTCTTTTTAAAAGGACACTGCAATTGATGACTGTATTAAGAGTGCTGGCATAGCAACCGTGGCTGATGTCACATGTGTGAAGCTATGCCTTCAATAAGTTACAGCTTGGTGTGTTGACTTGAAATTGCCTGATGAAATCCATCTTACTTTTTGACCCAGCTTTTGCAGCAGATTTGCTTATGAATAGGGCGGTGCGGTAGCAGTTAAGACACTGGGCTTGTAGGCTGGAAAGCCGGCAGCCCAGGTTCAAGATTCAAGCTCCAGGCAACTGCGCGAGTTCCCATCCTCGCCTCAGCTCCTGCCAGCCTAGCAGTTGGAAAGCGTGCAAATGTGAGTCGATAAATAGGTAGCACTTTAGTGGGAAGGTAACAGCGTTCCGTGATGTCATGCTGGCGGAAATGTCTTTGGACAGTGCTGGCTCAGTGGCCTTGAAATGGAGATGAGCTTTGACTTTTAACTTTTGCTTATGAGTGGCATTTTGCCAAGTTGGAATAATTCCTTAGAACTGTGAGTAATCCTTGGGAAAGCACCACTGCACATGAGCAAGGTCCACCCACAAACTAGAGCATCTAGTGGGAGATGCTCCATTGCACTGTGTTTTCTGCACTATGAAGTGGACAAGTAATTCTTAAAAAAAAATAAAAATCCACATCAGTACAAAAACCCTTACATGCAAAAAGAAACTGCCTTTGTTTTAAATTTGCAGTTACTTCAAAACAAGTGTACAATGTCCCCTAGTTAAATTGCTTTATCAGAATTACATTATTTCTTAAGAAGGATTCGGTTGGGAATTTACAAAGCGTGCTGAGCTTGGGTACCAGAGAATAAATTAGTCCTCATTTGCATACATAAGCGCTGCAAAGTACTGTAAATGCTTGCATTTTCTGAAATCTAGATTGAGCTTTCTCCATTCTCTCTTGGAATAGAACATTTGAATTTTTTCTTTCATACTTGGAGGACAAGTTCATGCTCAGTGGTTCTATGTCAAACGTATCTAGGCGGGAACATCTCTTCAATGTTCTCTCTCACGTAAAAATATTGGGATGGATTTTTGCCTTGGCTGGGCAGAGCAATTTATAAAAGGCTTTCCTGAAACTGATGTGGCACAAAGGATATAATACGGGATTAATAGCTGAATTCAACCACAGTAGCCAAAACGATACTTCGTAGAGATCATTGTGGATGCATCTCCCGTGACAACCAGCTCTGATGATCATTAGAAGGGTGTAGGGTGCCCAACATACAGCAAAGATGCAGACAACAATGGCTAAAGATTTGGCTATTTTCTTATCTCTGGAAAGCCTGAACCGGCTAGCCGCGGTATTGGCCACCTCTGCTTTCCGTGTGGTGCTGGATATGTTCTCTAGAGCTTTGTAGACACCACCCCACGGTGATTTAGTCTGAATGTCTACCTGCCAAGGTGGAAAGTCTTGATTGATGTTAAGCTCTACTGAGTGTGTCTGGAGGTTATGGATGCTGAGCCTCCCCACAGCAGGCTTGCTAGGGGTGAAGCTGTTCACCTTTTCGTTCCTTTTCTCCCCTCTTTTTGTGAAAACTATGGCATGCTCTCGTTTCTTCCTGCAGCAAAAAAGTTCACAGTCCTTTTGGGCTGCTGAGGAACTCTCACTTCCGACCTGTGTCCGCTTGCGAATGTTGAAATAGATGCTTAAGTTGAAGTAGGTGACACTGATGAATGGTGTGAAGAACTCAATGGTGGAGGCAATCATGAGGAAGTACCAGTTGTAGTGGAACTCGGCGTAACACTTGTTCTCAGGGATGATGCTTTGTTGGGCTATGTACTCCCAGCTGATAATGGCTGGACCATAAAGGAGAAATGCTGCAATCCACACCATTACCATCTTCACCACCGTGGTTTTGGTCATCCCTTTCTGAACTCTGTAGCTCACCTAGAAGAAAAAGTAGATGTCAAGCCCAAGAAATCAGGAGTCCGGGCAGTTCAAATGAATATATAGGTTTATTGTATACTAATGCTCTCTACAAGTATCTGAACTACTAACGGTCAAGGCAAATTGGCGGTAGATAACTCAATTGTCTTAAGTACCACCTGAATCTGAAGAACACCCACGTTTCCCTGAACTCTGAATACTATACAAACTGGGGAGGGAGTCCGAGTGGGACTAGTCTTGGATATTATCTCCATCTTTAGACTAATAATACTCGAACAAATAGTCTACCCTTTGAGTTTCCTTGTCGATAAAGGTATCGAGAACCTGAAAGTGTCAGAAACCTTCTCCTGACCTGGACTATCATGCCAAGTTGTAGATCTGGTTCCCATACTATATACCAAGCTATGCTTTGCTTTACCACACCTGTTGAATGAAGCACAATTGCCATTTTTTCCCACCACATGCTACACTAAAACTGATTTACATAGCTCTAGTTCTCCACAATTTAGGAAGTCAAGCCAAGAAATCCACATGTGTGGATTTCTTTAGTGTGATGTGCGAACACCAACAGAACGTGGTTTGCCTGTTGACATCTTACTGCAGCTTTTGAGACCCTGCTAAGTATCTTATGCTGACTGTGTTGCATGTATCTATGGAGTTGGAGTTGATTTAAAAAGCCATCGTTAAATAGATAACGCTATGACTTCATGTGTGGACAAGTTCAATGTTTACGTTTAGTGTGATGTTGAGGAAAGTTTTGACTAGTGTAGGGATGTCCAAGCTTGGCAACTTTTAAGACTTGTGGACTTCAACTCCCAGAATTCCCTAGCCAGCATCGATTGGTCTTCTTGAAATTGATGTTGGGGGAATTTCAGAATATTGTTTTATGCTTCAAGAAGGAAAAGACCGTGGTTGCCATGTCATGGGTCACTTATAGGAGAACAACTGTGTGATGATGTCAGAAAGACAATGAGTAAGAAAACGTTGGGAGAAGGAACAAGTCCCTTCAATCTGCCAAGGTCAAAATATAGGTAACTAGTTGTAGCTCACGGTAATGTTTTCTAAATATCTAGAAGCCATCAGTTAGCTAAGCAAGGCTCTGGGCAAGCATTACATTTCATAGCAGTTTGACTTATTTAGTTGCAGTTGGTTGGTTGCCCAGATGAATGTGTGGCTTTGTGTCACGTGCCTAGAGTTGAAGCAGGTGGCACTTGAATTCTGAGAAGATGCCAGGGGCTGGAGATATCAGAAGCCCATGGAAAGCAATGTGTCTTACCGCCTTTGTTACGGAGATGAATCGGTCAAAACTGATCAAGACAATGTTGAATCCAGAGGCTGTGCAGACGAGGTAATCGACCACTAACCAGAGCTTACACAGGCCTTTTCCAAATTTCCATTCATCGGTCAGTATATACGGGATGTAAAGGGGAATACAAAATCCACCTGGGAGCACAGGCCAAAAGAAAACAAGGTTGGTGAGACAGCCATAAGCTGAGGCCAAATTGTAAGCAACTTTAACAACAAGCAGTGATTCCCCCACACCCTCAGCCGCTCACACACTGGACATTTGAAATGGTACGGTCACATATCGGATGAAATCGGGCACTGTTTCATAGAAATGAAGAGTTGGAAAGGAATGCAAAGATTATCCCATTCAACCCCCCCTTCCTTCCTTCCTTCCTTCCTCCCTCCCTCCCTCCCTCCCTCCATCCCTCCATCCCTCCCTCTCTCCCTCCCTCCTATCTNTTTTTTTTTGTCTCAGCTCTCTAATGAGCAAATTCTGCCTCTTAAATTCCTCCTTTCAAATGTAAATAAGTTCAGTTTGCCTAGTTTGGGGACTCTAGGTTTAAATGGATGCCAGAGAGCAGTTGGGAATTGTAGCTGCCCCCTTCTCCACTTTCTTTAGATTCCACATGAAAAGCCACCTTTCATTCCTTAACTGAGAGGAAGAAAAATTAATGCCATTGTATCTCTAAGCTAGGAGTTTTGCCACTATGATATTAACTAAATTCTCATTTGTAGCCCACGAGCAACAACGCCTTTTTCTTTTCTTTGTGCATATACTATTAAAAAATTCCTTTTTTAAAAAAATGAATATAAACTGAGCCAAAAAGTGATAAAACTCTGCAGTTGCCATGTCAACAGAACTACACATTGTTTTCGCTGCCGTTATTCTTTGTATTCCAAAATCTTTGATTTTTGCCTTCCCTGCCACATTTATTCATTTTTACACAGTATTTATATATATGCTCAGACTTTCCTCTGAAGAACACAAGGCAACTTGCACTGATCTCTCTTCCACAGGGACTTTGTACACAGAACACATTTAACCAAATCACAAACCCAGGGGTTGTATCCACACAGCCTTGTAAAGTTTGGTTTAGTGGGAAGCCTGGATCATTATTTTGTGGCTTAATGTGCTGTGTAAACCCAGCTCATGTTGGTTGGTTCACAGTTCATTGTATTGTGTGAATCCACAAATGGGTTAATTCAACAATCAGTTTAAACATATTGGATCAACGCAAAGTATCATCACAACCAACCTATGCAATGGCTGACTCAAGGCCAGCCCGTCAGCTTTATCATTGCCACTGAGAGTTTGGATCATGTTCTCTTTCATCCTAGTTCTGCTAATTTCAAAAACTCATCACAACTTGGGATTTGGTTTGGAGTCCTACGTAAACCCAGCCCAGCCAAACCACTGCACGTTAGTGGCACAGTGGTTAAAATGCAGTACTACAGGCAAACTGCCCACAGCCTGGAGTTCAATCCTGACGGCTCAAGGTTGACTCAACCTTCCATCCATCCAAGGTTGGTGAAATGAGGACCCAGACTGCTGGGGGCAATATGCAAATAATGTTTTGACATTATAAACTACCCAGAGAGTACTGTAAAGTGCCATGGGCCGGTATGTTAAGCCTAAATGCTATTGCTAAATGCTGTTGTATTAGTCAACACCATCTGGTTAAGTAAACACCCAAGAAGTGTGTGTTTATTACTCAGTTCAGTCTACCTCATACAATGCTTTCTCTTGGGATACAATGAAGGAAGACTTCTTTCCTTGCCCTCAGTGGTGCTTTGAGCTCTTAGAGAGAAACCAATTGTCCAACCTACCCCAGACACCCCTCCCCCCATCTTTTACTTTCCCCTGACTTGGCTCATTTCCCAGAGACTTCACTTACCCACTAAAAAATCTGCCAGGGCCAAGTTCAGGAAGAAGAAGTTCCCCTGGGTCCGTAGGCTTTTATCCACCACAAATGCCAAGATGACCAACGCGTTGCCCAAGACAGTGGCCAACACTAGGAGTCCCATGAGAATCGCCAGCAGGATAGTGATAGGGGCTGAGAACTGTCCATGGTGCTGAAAGCGATGTTCTGCAGCAGTCACACATCCATTGCCCAGATAGGTAGACCAGTTCAGTCCCAGTTGAGTTCCCTCAGACATACCTGCAGGATGAAGAGATAAAACACATTAGCATTACTGTTGTATTACTGTGAGTGTAAATAACAGGCTGGGAAGCCAGAACAACGGGTAGTTGTTATTACTACGGTTATTCATGCATAGATTCATTCCTTAGCATGGGATATCAATTGTTGGAGAAAAGGTGAAGCTGTAGGCTGCCTGAGCATATAAATCAGATTGTGTTCCTAGAAGCAGAGGACAGAAAATTAGCAGAAGGGACAAAAGATAGAATAAAAGAGAGCATCAGAAAGAAAAAAAACACACAAAAGCAAGGCAGATAATAACCATTGTTTCTCTCAGGAAAGATTTCTGGGGAGAGAGGGAGAAAAAGGGAGACCAAATTACCAATTTGGTGTTCCATTCTTTGGGTGCTCATGTCCTTTTTCAGAGTTTGCTGTCCTTTTCTGCTGTCCCCATAGCTGTACTGCTGCCTTTTGGACACAGACGTTGCAAAGCATGAGAAGCAACTCTGTGGATTCTGTTAAAGCACTGCCCGTTGTATTCCTTTTCTGTTTCAAACAAGTTTGGGTATGAGTGTGTGTGTGTGCGAGCTTATGTGTGTGCGCGGGCATGTGTTAGAGAGGGGAGGGGGAAGGAGGGGAGAAAAGACTGGCAATGTGAACTGCATAAAAACCACATGCATTTCAGAATAGTTCCTTTCGGACTAATCCATCTGGTTAAATTATCAATAGAGTTGGAGGCTCTATTGGGTTCAGATGCATTTTTAATCAGGGACTTAGTTTTGTTCCCCGATTAGATTCAAGTGCACATCTTTATTAAAAAAGTGTTCAAATATATCTCGAGATAATATTATTTCGTAGGCTGTTCTATCATTTTAAACTCATCATGATGATGGTATTGTGTATCCAATCGCACTTGGCCAATAAAGAATTCTATTCTGTTCTGTTCTGTTCTCTACTCTACTCTACTCTACCCTACCCTACCCTACCCTACCCTACCCTACCCTACCCTACCCTACCCTACTCTACTCTACCCGACTTCATTCCATTCCATTCTCAGGTTGCCCAATTGAGGTTGTATAGTGGTTTGGTTCTCTGGTCTGGAAAAAAAAGAGGATGTGAAGTGTTGGTGTTAGTATCTTTATTCTGTGACTTTTCTTGCTTGAGTGACACTCAACACCTAAGGTGGTGTTCTACAAAGGGGATGGACTACAGCTTACTTCACCCAAAGCCACTATTCTGGCTGGGAATAAATGAAGCTGTAGTCCATCTCATCTGAAGGACACCAGATGGAGTGTTAGTTTGATCCCAGTTGTCAAAATGCTCTCAGCCTCTTTGTGCTGTGTGTGTGTATATGTGTTTGTAAGGTAGATTGTTAAGTCTTTTATTTATTGTGGAGCGAACTTGCAGACTGAAGAAACTGTGGATTAAAAACAGAAGCTAACCCCTCTCCCTTTCCTTCACATTCATCCTGTGAAGCAATTTAAATCATATACTGTAAATCATCAGCAATTTATGTAGCCAATTGGTGAGTGCTTTTTTGAATGGAATAACATCCTGTTGTTTTCTTTCTCTCAGCTTCAATGCTTTATTTATAAAATAAAGGTGTGCCGACTCTCGCGGAATACAAATGATGTCCATCCATCACCTTGCAAAATGCAGTGATTTATGTAGCATCTTTTCTAAACTAAGTGATCCTCTGTAGAAGTCTTTCTGGAAGATTCCACCCTACTAGCCATTTAAATATTCCCAACTTTGTTCTTTGCAAGAACAAAGAAGGCTCACAGACTACTAGCTTTGTAAGGAGGTTGGTTTCAGCTCCTTGAAAGGATTGTATCCAAGGCTTTACCAACCTGAGAAATAACACACTTTTATTAGTAACGTCTAAATTTAATTAAATGGCTGGAGAAAATCTATCACACTCGTTCCCTATCTGCCTTCCTTGGACTGCGTGTGATAAATTAATCTTTTGCTCCCAGGTGGGCTTATTTATTGTAGTGCTGGCATCTCGGCTGCTCCTGTCATTTCTAGAAAACTGGTTGACTGGAAGGGAGTAAATTTCTTGTGCTTCCCCCACCCCACCCCACCAGTAAAGTGCAAACCTGAGTGGCAGATGACTGAATTGCATGCTTTTTTCTTTTTCTTTTTTTTAAAACAAGACTGCAAACTGATGCCTTGGGAATGAGAAATGTTGGCAAGTGGAATTAATTACAGCCTGGATATTTTACTCCATCAAATCACCGAGCCCTCCCTTTCTGGGGAAAAAAATCCTGAAAGTTACCACCAGAGATTAAGCAGAGATTAACACCAAGATTAATACTAGACCGACAATCAAGTAGTAAACAACATTTCAATCAAGGAACTGTCAGCTCAGGCAAACAACCGGTAAACAACAGCCCAATCAAAGCACCACCAAGGACACACCAAGAAACACTAACAGGGCAAGCCCCATGTATATAAAAAGAGAGCAAGCCTCACTGCCTTCTAGCCTTGATGATGCTACCTAGTTGGGTAAAGAAATGTCTGCAAGAAAATAACCCAGCTCAGAGAGCACCAAGGACCCCCATATACAGTATTACCTTATAAATATTCTCTTTTGTTAGTCACAATATTGTTTGTCTTGCTAGAGGGCCCATTTAATGCAGCCTTTGACAGTAATATTATTAGATGGTTTGAGATAAACCTTTCCAGCCTTGTCCTGTGTGTTAAGAATTCTCCTTAGCTTCACAAGATTATTAAGGATCGTTGGTTCAAACCATGCAACCTTCATCTGCAGAACAAGCGATGGCATTGAAGGCTGCTATTCTCAGTGTCTATAACAGGGGTCTTCAAACTTGGCCCTTTTATGACTTGTGGACATCAACTCCCAGAATTCCTCCACCAGGGTGCCTGGCTGAGGAATTCTGGCAGTTGAAATCCACAAGGGCCAAGTTTGAAGACCCCTGGTCTATAAAGAGAGGTCTGACCATTTTGTAGAGCAAGGGAAGCACGCGCCTATTACTTTTATGTCCATATTATTGACTTCTGAAGTTGTTTGGGTAACCATGGTAGGAGATGGGATGCTACGTTTGTTGATCTCCTTCCTTGATTCGTAGAGGCATTAAATTCTCTGTTGCCCCTGACGGCAGAGCCAGAACCAGTGGATGGAAATAGAAGAGAGACAGATTTGGGAGAACCTAGTAGAAGAAGCATGTCCACCATGAGATGAAAGCAAAAGTTCATCAAATAGAAGTTAAGCAGAGCGTGCCAGCCATCTTTCAGAAGATGAAAGCAACAGACATCATTAGCAGAGAGTTGGCTACGCGAGTTGACCTTCCTTGTGCTTCTGATGTACATGAAACCTGTGGACTGTTCTAACAGGAACTAAAAAAGAAGTCCATGAATCTCATGCAGCTTCTGGAAATGTTAAATGTGACCTCTGGAGCCCACCTCAAAGGTGTAAACCCTTCTTATTGTTTAATGGGACAGAAACAGAGAAGGATCACATGGGGAGTTAGTTTTCACATCATCCATTGTCTTTAATTAATCTGACACTCACTAAAACATACATAAATGAATAATTTTTAGTTCCATTGAAATGCTAAGTGAGATTGTGTGCTGTTTCCAGCTTTGCTGATCCACAGAAATGCCATTATTGACTTCTTGGGGGGATTGTCTTGAAAGACATTCTCTGTTGCATTAGCAATTGGAGTTACAGAAACCTACTGATTCCGAGCAGACCTAGAGAATATTCTCCTTACAATAGCCTATTCAAAGGCAAAGAAAAGCAGGAAGAAAGACAAGTCAAAGCTGCTGGAAACCCACATCCTTCCGCTTGTTCTTCGGGCAGGTTGACTCCCATATAAATCCATTCTAGCTAACTTGGAGCCAAAATAAAACCGTGTCTCCAATTAAAGGTGGGCTCAAGAGGAGTGAACAATGCAAGTCCTGAACTTTTAAGCAAAGTTCTAAAGAACTTCAACATTATCTGGATTAGTTTGTCAACGGAGACTTCGATTCTGTTTTCTTGGAGGCTACATGGGAAAAAAGGCGATATGCAAAACAATTCCTACGTTTGAGTGGAAAATCCATTACTTGGTTTGGTTTTTACCTGGCCTTTAACTCTGTACTGTATTTGTGACTAGGCAAAGGTTTTGCACACAAGCAATGTGGATTCTTCACTAGAAAATAAAATAAACTTCAACTTCTAAAAAAAATAAATCTTAGTTTTTCCAGTTGGTGGGAATCTCTGTTTCTACCGAACAGGCACCCAGTGATCATTGCAATTTTTTTCTTTTAAAGATGCTGTAAAGGGGTGGAGTCAGGGCGACTGAATGGAGCTTGAGCATTGACTGGCTGGATGCCCTTCCTGACGCCTATGTGGAGTTCACAGCAGATATGTTCTCTTAGTGCCCAGAGAGAGAAATATCTGCCACTACCTAGGATCGAACTCACAGCTTTCTGATTGTGAGGCGAGAGCTCCACCTCTATACTACCATGTCAATCCCAGTGATCATTGCAATAAATGTGATTCTCTCCCCCCCCCCCCCCGTATTGTGCTCCTTACTTTGGCAACATTCCCCAAATGTTTTTTTCCCCCCTTGGTTGATATTTCTTTCAAAGAGGGAAAGGGTTAAAAGTATTGTTGCTGCTGTATATTAGAGATCATTACAAAATCTGGTGTGTCACTAAAAGAGATTTTGGCTGACGTGAAGATTTCTTGCAATGAATCTCATAAACTTCACATGAATCATAATTCTCCCTAGAGAAACTTAACGTCTCTATTCTTAAACATTTCATTTTCTTAAAGCTTCTAATTGCTTGGAATCAACAGCCTGCAAATATATATATTCTTTTCAAGCACAAATGATGTGCTTTCTAATTTTTCTTGAGCACTTGGGATTAATTACCACTTGCTAGCAGAACAAAATGTATTGACATGGATGAGTTCCTATTTGTCAAATTATTAAAGGAATTTGAAATGTAAGGAGCACTTTTCAAAGACGCGTTTAAGTGTTCCCTAGAACAAGACAGCTTCGGCTCTATTCTTTTTTATATATAAATATTTCAAGCATTTCACATCAGAGTCTCAGTTTTAAGAATTGTGCTGCAGCGCGTGTGTGATCTGTATTGTGGTTTGAACCGGTAGCTTTTAGCAAACCCCGTGGCTGATCTTGCTTGATCTTCAAAAGGCTAAGCAGGGTAAGAATCTGGTTGATACTTGGATAGGAGAGTCCAGGTAGTCTCAGCCTATGACCACAGTTGAGCCCAAATTTTCTGTTGCTATGCCAGACGGTTGTTAAGTGAATTTTGCCCCATTTTATGATCTTCCTTGCCACAGTCGTTTAAGTGAATCCTACGGCTGAGAGAATGAGACTGGCCCAGCTGGCTTGCAACAATGGGGGAACATGCTTAATAACAGCACTATTCACTTAAATTGCAGTGATTTGCTTAACAACTGTGGCATAAAGGGTCATAAAATTGGGCACCACCTTGCTTAGCAACTCAAATTCTGGTCCACATTATTGTTTTTAGTCAGTGGTGGGAGTCAAATATGTGAACTACCGGTTCTCTGTGTGGATGCCGCTTCCGAAAGTCCATTCTGGGCCTGGGCAACAAAAAATTAGCTACCGGTTCTGCCGAAGTGTTACGAACCGGCTGAATCCCCCCACTGTTTCTAGTCAAGACTTATTGTACCTGCATCAAATTGGGGCAACGTTTGTGATCAAATTAAAATGAGGAATTAAGGCTCACCTTGAGAAATGACCACCTCTCTGTTGAGCAGAACGCGCTGAGCAAAAAAGAGGCTGTAAGCCAGTGGTGGTGAACCTATGGCACGTGTGCCAGAGGCGGCACTCGGAGCCCTCTCTGTGGGCACACATGCCGTTGTCCCAGCCTCGCCTCCCCCCGCGACCCCCTCCTCACCAGCAGCCCCCCTGGAGGAGAGTCGCCCCTGAGTATGGCCCATGCAGAGCAGCACAGCCAAGGACATGGCAGCCAGGCAGCGTAGACAAGACTCTGCCCTCATGCCCAATCGCGCAGTTGATGCTGCGGGGCATGGGCAGAGGGCGTGGCTGCCATGGTGCTGCTGGGCTGCCTGGGCGATCTGCGGCGGGCCCTGGAGGTGGTGAGTGGCCCTGCGAGCAGGCGGGGTGGGGGCAGGGCAGGGGGTGGAGCAGGGGTGGGGCCAGTTTTTGGGCACTCGGTCTCTAAGAGGTTTGCCATCATTGCTGTAAGCTTTCATTTCCCATCCATATTTTTACAAAAAGCAAGAAAAAGAAGTATAGTCATATATTCAAAGTGCAGCTGAGCCAAGAGGATGAATAAAGCATGAAAAGAAATGACTGGATAAAAGATTCAAAGAAAACCATTTTTGCTGAATAAAATATAACCTAGCATATATATTTGATGCGATCTCGGTAGAACTAAAATTCAAACCTAACTAGTAATTGGGAGAATAGAAAGAAGCAGGGGAAAAAAAATGATATGTGAGAGATTGTCTCCCAAGCGCAACCAAAATAGATTCAGGGTATAGATTCCGTTTTTATTCCCCAAACGTGGTTATTGTTTCCCAAAGCCTGTTAGAAAATTCACACAAACTCAGCACACATTGTGGTAAGATTAGCTTTGTCTGACTCTGGTTTATTAAACAATCACAACCGGCTAGGTTTTCATAACGCACGGAACTATCAATGGTAGTTTACAAAATAAAAGTGGCCGGATTCACAACATCCAGAAATAAACAGACCATTTTGTGGTCTAGCAAAATGTGTGAACGATGTTCAGTGAACCTTTTTATGTGTTTGAAAAACAGCGAAAGAGCGTAATGACGATAACGCAATAACTTCACCTGGGTAGCTTTTCAATTTTCCGTTTTCTACTCGAGGTCCTTTATTGTATTGATTGCTTCTTTTAAAGAGCAGATTTAAAATAGTATTATTATTGTTATTATTTATTTATATTTTATTTATTTATAATTTGATTTATATCCCGCCCTTATCCACACCGGACTCAGGGCGGCTAACAGCCTTATAAAACAACATACAACACATATCAATTAAAACCAAATTAAAAGAAAATATTCGTCAAGGCCTGGTCGTTAAAATTACCCTTAAAATTACCCTTAAAAACCCCACTAAAATTCCCTAGGCCAATCCCGCTTGTTGGAAAAGCCACGTCTTTATGAGACGTATCCTTTGTCACAAAAACTTGCAATAAGAATCAAAGTGAGGTCTCAGTTCCGACAGACCTAGATACAAGCTGCTGCATCACAAGAAGCCACAATAGAAAGATGTAACCTATTATTCTTTGTGGTGGGTGGGATGGAAAATTGAGAGAGCTTTTTGGAACATGGCAATCAACTGATGGGAGCTATTGAACTGTAATGAGAGAAGAGGGCAAGTTAATTATTAACTGAAACAATAGAGTGCCCTATGCAACAATATCTAATGTGCAATTTTATTGTTAGGTAATGACTCTCTATTCATCTCTCTAGAATTACATGGATGCAAATATATTGAGGTTTTTTTTGGCAGCACGCTAGATCTAAACAATGTTCATCTTTCCTTTGGAACTTAAAATGGCTCTCTGTCCATCTAGGTTACCTATATCAGGGGTCCCCAACCCCTGGTCTGTGGCCCGGTGTCGGGCCGCAGCCTCTTCAGAGAAGGGTGGCGGAAGTGGTGGGTGCGTGCATGCGTGCAAAGTTGTGTTTGTGAAAGTGGCACACGCACATCCATGCGAAACCATCCCCTCTCTCACCTCGCCATCACCGCCTCTGCAGGTCTGCCAAGCCAAAAAGGTTGGGGACTGCTGACCTATACTATCAAATTTGGGAAGCCTGGAAAAAAAATATATCTGGCTTTCTGCTCCCATCTCTCCAGTTCAGCTGTTCCCCCCCCCCACCCCTTTTCTAGATGTGAACAGATTGAGCTATCTGGCAAAGTAGTTTGCCTAAAAATGCTTAGGAGATTCCATCTGGGATTGTTGGGTTGATACACTCAGCCCTGATTAATCAGATTATATATATATGTAAGGGGGGGGAGTGGGTCAGGTGGAGGGGAAAATGATCATGTGACTAAATTTATCCCCTTCTGTCACTCTTCAAAAACCAAGAAAGATACGTTGAGATCCTTCTAAGCAGATTTCTTTATTGTGCCTCACTTATAGACAGAATCTTGCCGAACTAAAGCCGGCTGTTTGCATCATAAAACTAACTCGGGGGGAAATATTAGGAAGGAACCTACTATATAGTGAACCATCTGTGAGCTGGCTTCACACAGCCAGGTAGGCCCAGGGTTAAACCAAGGTTAAGTTAACCAAGTTGAGCCTTTTTTTTTTTTAATGCAGATCTTTAACGGATTCAGCTAAATACTTTTTATGATTGAAATGTGCAAGTTACACATGTAAGATGCACTTAGGTTTCTTGCGGGAGATTTAGACTTTGCACACTTGCTACGAATGTCCGAAAAATTTTCTAAATGCTTTCAAATTGAACAGAACGTGGATGATAATCCCCATCACGCATATTCATGGCTCATTTGTCTATGGAGATTCTCAGTCATCCAGGCCATGGTTGTCCCAAAGGTGCTTTTTCAAGAGGCAACTGGACTTTCTTTTTTGCCTCTTGAAAAAGTACCTTTGGGTCTCACATCATTTGTTTTGCTGTTGGTGACTGCTCAGAATATTTATGTACTGATGGTGGAACCTACGTCATTTCCCACTGGCCTTATGCTTTAGACCTTGAATGCTTCCATCATTCATAATTTCTTGATAGTTAAATGCTGTACCGAATGTGTGTGTGTGAGTGTTGTTTTACATACATTTATTCTGAACTGTTGCAATGCCATTTGATGAAAATGCTCTGTTTGTCTCCTCGGGGTCCACAATATTTGAGTCTCCATGGAAATGTGACCCTTCATTTCTTGGGGTATGAGCAACTGACACAAATTGTAGTGTTGAGTCACATGTCCTGTTTGTCTCCTTTCTTTTCATCTAGCTCTGCCAATCAGACAAAAGTATCGTTTAGTTTGGCCTCCTATTCCATAGCTTAATGCACTTTCAGACTCTAAACTGGATCTGTGTCTGTATGGAATCAGGCATGCTCAAACCCTGATGAAGGCATGGGATGTTAGGTTATACAGGGCTAAATTGCCCTGTTCATCTGGGACACACATATCCATCATCCTATATGTGTCTAGTTAGAAAGGACTCACGAATGAAGCTCACAGTTAGTTAGCGAAGGACTCACAAATGAAGCTCACAGCTTTGGTTGCCACGATACAAAAAAGATGTTGAGATGCTACAAAGGCTGCAGAGAAGAGCAACGAAGATGATTAAGCAGCTGGAGGCTAAACCATATGATGAACAATTGAGGGGGACAAGGAATGCTTAGTCTAACGAAGAATAGAACTAAGAGTGACATGATAGCAGTCTTCCAATGTTTGAGGGGCTGTCACAGAGAAGAAGAGGTCAACACATTTACCAATGCAGCTGAAAGCAGGACAAGGAATAATGGATGGAAGATCATCAAAGAGAGATCCGACCTAGAATGAGGGAGAAATTTCCTGACCGTGAGAATTAAATCAGTGGGACGGCTTGCCTCCAGAAGTTGTGGGTGCTTCAACACTGAAAGTTTTTAAGAAGAGATAGGAAGGCCCTTTGTCCAAAATTGTCACCCATTTTCAGCAACCCTTCTCCCATAAAGTCAGTGTTTTTCTATTCAAAGTATCTAAGCACCGACTTCATGAGCCGTGGTGGCGGCACAGTGGTTAGAATGCAGTATTGCAGGTGGACTCTGCTCATTGCTAAGAGTTCGATCCTCACCGGTTCAAGGTTGACTCAACCTTCCATTGTGCCAAGGTTGGTAAAACGAGGACCCAGATTGCCGAGGGCAACAGGCTGACTCTGTAAACCGCTTAGAGGGGATTGTAAATCACTATGAAGCGGTATAGAAGTCTAAGGGCTCTTGTTATTGCTATTCGTGTTACACGTAACTTGAATTGTAGAGCTTCCATATCTGTGCTGCAAAGCTCCAGAGAACCTTTTGGCATTAGGCATTTAACTTTTGAGGTTGTTCCTCCTCTTGGGCTCTTCGTATCTTGCATCTTTGCAACAAAATCTCATCCTGAGATAGGATCACTCTCGGCTTGAAAATCTTTCACCCTAGTCTTAATTTCAGCCTAAGTTCCCTTTTATATTGTTGGGGGTCTGCCTTGTTGTCGTTGAGTCTGGGGCTTTTCCCACAAGGCTTTCCTGAGCTGCCAGGTGGAAATTTACTCACCCGATCCCATTGCGTGGGCAGTATAACATTTACATAACGCACACATTTCCCCGAGGAAAGCTAGCTTCATCACAACAGGACCGCGGTGGGAAAGAGTGAGGCTGAGTCACAGGGTTCTTTTGCCAAAGGAATCTTGGAGTGGGAAGAAAAAGAGAAACAGGAGATGTCTTTGGTGTGGTTTAGATGCCAGAAGTTCTCTCCGTTGCCTCTGTGGCTCTTTGGGAAGTGCTTCTTATCTGCATATATGCAGAGCTGCAAAGTGAACCGTTCTCTTGCTTTAGGAATTCATAGGTATAATAATAATAATAATAGTAAAGTTGGAAGGGACCTTGAAGGTCATCTAGTCCAACCCCCTGCTCAGGCAGGAAACCCTATACCATTTCGGACAAATGGCTGTCCAGTCTCTTCTTAAAAACTTCCAGTGTTGGAGCATTCACCACTTCTGGAGGCAGGTTGTTCCACTGGTTAATTGTTCTCACTGTCAGGAAGTT